GGAGTGTCAAGAGGATGAGGCCAGCCTCTTCTCCGTGGTGCCCAGTGACAGAACAAGAGACAACGAGCACAAACTGAACCACAGGAAGTTCCATCTGAACCTGAGAAAAAAGTTCTTCACTGTGAGGGTGACAGAGCATTGGAACAGGTTGCCCAGAGAGGTAGTGGAGTCTCCTTCGCTGGAGATATTCAAAACCCACCTGGATGTGATCCTGGGCAATATGCTCTAGGTGACCCTGCTTGAGCAGGGAGGTTGGACTAGATGATCTCCAGAGGTCCCTTCCAACCTAAACGATTCTGTGATTCTATGTTTTTATTGTACTGTCTCCTGTAGCTACACTCCTGGAAAAATATATATATGAAGACAGTTCTTCCTTGCATTTCACACACAGAATTTACTGAATGTACAGTTACATATTGTATAAAATGTGATCATAGGAGTTAAATAAAAAGATAGTAACTCATTTCATAGTTACTCTAATTCTTTTCAGTGTAGATTTCATTTAGATTAAATGACATGAAACACCTTAGCAGATGATTTTATCAACAGAAGTACTTCACAGTCCCCTACTAAAGCATCAATTACACAGCAAGGTATTTACATAAATTCAAATTTCAAGTACATTTTGTGTTGATTACTTTTTGCATTTCCTGAGACACATGCATTGCATTTTATTTTTAAACTACACAAAATCATTTGTTTTGTATAGCAAAATATTCTACCTTAACTACAGTGGTAAGTCACTTATATGACAGACAAAACTTGAAAAGGTGAAATTAAACATTTTAAAATACCATGATTCATATATAGAAATATATAGTAATATATGTTCAGATTAATTTTACCCTCTTTCTTACCAAGTTTACTGGGAATAACAAAACATTTTTCAAACAGTAAGGGGATAAGTTGGCAAAAGAATTGTGTGAAATTATGTAAAGGGGCAACCCTTACATTCTTGATAGTTGTTACCTTCTAATCGTATATAATGCTCTTCAGGTAGAAAACCTATTACTTGGACAGATTCCTAGCATTTATTTGTAAACCTCTGTTTTAAGACTAATAATGCATGTGCCCACCCACCTTAAACTCTGGTGAACTTCAGTTTTACTTTGTCAAAAAAAAAAGTAGTAATTAAACATGCAAAGATATCTGTGCATTATGCACAAGTGAACTCGCTTAGTAGCCTAACTAGATATAATACAAATAGGCCTAAAACTTCAGCAGTCTTGCCTGTTTAAAAAAAAAAAATATTGTGATGGGCCTGTTGTTTTCAGTCTTATTCAATTCTATACCCATATTGTGATAGAAAAGTAGAAATTCACTTTCTAAACTCACACTGTCCAAAAAGCATTATCACACATTCCATTTAAATCACTTTTTTAGCATTCATTTATTGTTCAGGAAGTTACTGAATACATAAGCAACTAGTTTTTTTTGTTAACATAACTGGAAGTTAGAAACACTGCTTACCAAAAAAATAAGTGCAGACTAGGTTCTCTTACTTTCAATACAAGGATATAATACTTTAAAAGAATGACTTTATATGCATGTATACACACATTTATTTTTATACGTGCATGCAAGTAAACGCAGCTCTGTTGCGGCCAGGCAGGGTATTAAAGCAACTCAGACGTATTTTATTTATACATGTTCAATACACAAAGATATGCCATCCATTCACAATAAAAATCATACCTGTACAAATTCAATACTGAAACAGACTCTTCTGCAGTACCAATAATTTTGTAGATTCTCTTTACCAAGAGAAAACAATTATGAAGTCTGAGAATCACTTAAACTTTATACAATATTTAGCATTTTGGTCAAAAGTAACAGATGACAAGGAAAGGAATGAAATACCAACATCATTTTCTCAAGTAGAAGGACCAGGACCAATATTATAGTACACCTCAAAGACTGGCAGAGACATTTTTAGATTACATTCAGTGGTTTATAATTTGTCTGTAAATAGTTAGTTTTCTCTTTAGGTACACAAGATTCACAAAAAAGCCATAAAACACAGCATGTCTTTGTCCATGTGCGCAGAGATATATTGTCCTACCCACAACACAGTCCTGCAAACACTAACCCCTGTAAAAAATTTTCAAGAGACCCAGGAGCCCTACGCAAAATATGTGAATTCAAATAATGTAGAGTATACATAATTTCATAATAAAAATGGGTTCACCGAGGTCCCTTCTGCTTAAACAGCATGTTAAGAGACAAATCATTGGCACCTCAAAAGGAAGGCATCAGACAAATGTGATTAACACCAGTACAGAAACTACATTCACCATAAACTACCATTTGCCACAGAAGTAACAACAGCACAGGCTCTTTCGCTTGAAATAAAATTCAGTACAAGTTTATAGATGTGAGAAACATGCACTACCACATAGGATTTAATATAAATTTTGATTTCAGAGAAGATGAATTAAGCTTCAGTTCTGAGATAGCCCACAGAACTAAAACAGTTTACCTGTGCGCAATTGACAGAACCAGAAGTGAACCTATAAAGAGTCGTTTAAAAAGCAAGTTCTCTCACCACAGACTTGCTACTTGTCTAAGAGATCATTTCCCCAGTATGCCTGGGCATACTCAGGCAGCAGAATGAAATCAGTAATTTCAGGTATTTCTATATGGGCAATGATATAGCATAACATGATCTCTATTTAAACTTTCCATAGCGTTTCTTGCCTAATCTGTATAAATGTAGTATATAATTAACAGTAAAGTATTATGACAGGATGAGTCAACTGCAGTTAATTAGCATAAAGATATTAATAGTAATCATTACAGTATTTTTTAAATTAGTTAGGAAAAAAATAGGGATGCAAAGCCAAGAGTGAACTGAGATAGGATCTAGATATTCCCTTAGATTCCATTTGAGATTTGAACACATGACATTCTTCCCTCTCTCCTGATTTTGGTTGCACAGTGGAGGTTCTCTTTTTTCTTCTTCTTCTTCTTTTTTTTTATTTAAAATAAAAACATTCTATAAAGCTTGGTGCAATCACCTCCTAAATCCATTCAATTTTTTTTTTTTACCCTATCTATCCACTCATAACAGAGAATCTTATTTTCTTTGCATTTTTGCAATTCTTTACTCATATATTTTTAATTACATTTCCAACAAACTATTATGACTGTAGCCAGTAGTCCGTAAGTGAAACTTTATCCTCTAAAACGTGAAGTAGCACAAATATTTACTCTAAGTATAAAGAAAGCCCTGGGTGAGGAGGTGGGGTAGCTCTGGTGGCTGCTATTCCACCAGCTCTCTAGAGGATCCTCAAATTAAATTCTAAACTGAAATAATTTTCTCAGGTTGCCTTTTTAGATTGTGAAAAATACTAAGCACTTTAGAATACAGTAAAGTGCTCAGCAGTGATCACCTTCTAGGCACTTAATTTTAATTCGTTTCAGCAGAAATTCAGTAAATTATTCTAAAAATCCCATTAGATGCCTATGTCATAGTCCATACCATTTTATGGCAAGGGTTAAAACATACCTTTATCACAATTATACAAGTCTTTGCAAGTAATAAAGATCTATTACACAGTTAACATAAATCATACTTCAAATAAAGAAAAATCACCTATGTTGTACAAAATTGCACAATAGATTTCAAATGTTTCTATAATCAGCAAAACAAGAAGCAACTGTAATCTTCACAAACAGAAGACACTGTCACAGGGGAAGTAAGGAGCTGAAAGCTGAGTGCAAAGTTGTCAAGACTAGTAAACAGTTCAGGCAACTACACTGAGAAAAGCCTGGCAGATGACAAAAATTTAAGTAGGAAAAATAGAGAGATTTGTCCTTTCAAAATGTTTGAATTCAGAATAATCATTAATATATGCTTTCCTAGATACTCAAAAAATCTAGATCATCCCCTTACATTTAAAATAAAGGAGTTCTCTGAACTGTAAATGAATACAACATGCTATAAAAACATATTATATATAGCTATTTAGGGGATTTATACTAAAAATGAATAAATCAGTTTCCTTAACTAAGGGATAGAGTGGTTAACCTGGAAGGGGTAAAAGTCTAACAAGTGCTTCATGCGTTTCAGCCATAATTGGGTGACTGTGGTAAGTTACACCCATATCTACTTCAATTTATCCAGCTGAGTGTTAAGTAAAACAAAATAAGTATTAGCAGACATTTCAGAAAAGCACTTTGACATATTCAGAAACACAGTATGAAAAAGCAAAAAATTATGAAGAGATATAAGACCACAATAACTCTAGAGGTGCATTTCAACAAGCCCGGTTATGTATCTGTCAGCCAATCTATGCATTTCTGAGGCAGCTGATGTGACACCTGATCTCTTTAATAACCGCACAGAAATGACAGAATCAAACTAAGAATAAGTGAAAGATACATAAACAAACCTTCTTCATGTTAGAAAGACTCTAAAAATATTTGTAGTAACTTGTTTAGATTTATTAGGAATGACACAGGTTTTGGAAAAAAAATACTTTTTTTGTTTGTTTTTTTTTTTTTACCCACAAGTCCCCATATTCACGTTACCACTTCATGGACAGACTACTGTGAGTATTTGAGTAAACAGTGCAAGTAATTACCTTGAGTAATTACTGTGA